AGGTGATGAAAAGGCCAAAACACAGTGGGAGAAGGTCGATGCTCAGTTATGTAGTATCCTGTGGCGATCTATTGATTCCAAGTTGATGCCCTTGTTCCGTCCATTCCAGACATGTTATTTAGTTTGGGAAAAGGCTCGTAATCTATACACTAATGACATATCTCGTTTCTATGATGTAATATCGCGAATGACAAGCTTGAAGAAACAGGAATTAGATATGTCTACTTACTTGGGACAAGTTCAGACAGTCATGGAAGAATTTGAGACGTTGATGCCAGTTTCTGCTAGTATTGAAAAACAACAAGAGCAACGACAGAAGATGTTTCTAGTTCTTACACTCGCTGGACTCCCTAATGACCTTGATTCAGTACGTGACCATATTTTGGCTAGTCCAACCGTCCCCTCAGTTGATGAATTATTCTCTCGATTACTTCGCCTTGCTGCAGCACCTAGTCACCCACTGAGCTCATCACAGACACTTGACTCATCTGTCCTCGTATCCCAATCAGTGGACAATCGGGCATCTCATACTATGGAGAATAGACGAGGAGGAGGTCGTTTTGGAAGATCTAGACCCAAGTGCTCCTATTGTCATAAACTTGGACACACTCGTGATGTATGCTATTCTTTACATGGCCGCCCAACCAAAAATGCTTATGTTGCTCAGACTGAGACTGCAGGTAACCAGGGATTTTCTTTATCTGAAGGGGAGTATAATGAGTTCCTTCAGTATTGAGCAAGTAAGCAGACATCTCCACAAGTAGCTTCTGTTGCTCAGACTAATACTTCTGTTGCTGGTAATTCTTTTGCTTGTGTTTCCCAGTCTAGTCCTCCTGGACAATGGGTTGTGGACTCAGCCGATTCTGATCATATCTCTGGTAATAAATCACTTTTGTCAAATATTGCGTATTCACAGTCTCTTCCCACTGTACTTTAGCCAATGGGTCTCAAACCAAAGCAAAAGGAGTTGGACAAGCGAATCCCCTACCCTCTGTCACTCTAGATTCCGTTCTCTATGTCCCTGGCTGTCCTTTTAATCTTGCATCTGTTAGTCGTTTGACTTGTGCCCTCCATTGTGGTATATATTTTATTGATGATTCTTTTATTATGCAGGACCGCAGTACAGGGCAGACGATTGGAACAGGACTTGAATCAGAAGGGCTTTACTACCTTAACTCCCTAAAATCCTCCAAGGCATGTCTAGTTACAGATCCTCCGGACCTAATTCACAGACGTTTAGGACATCCAAGCTTATCCAAGCTTCAGAAGATGGTGCCTGGTTTGTCTAGTTTATCCACATTAGAGTGCGAGTCATGTCAGCTCGGGAAACATACCCGAGCCTCCTATCCTCGTAGTATTGAGAGTCACGTAGAGTCTATTTTTTCTTTAGTTCACTCTGATATATGGGGTCCTAGTAGAGTCAGTTCAACCTTAGGATTTCGTTATTTTGTTAGTTTTATTGATGATCATTCAAGATATACTTGGATTTTCTTAATGAAAGATCGTTCTGAGTTGTTTTCTATATTCCAGAATTTTTGTGTTGAAATTAAAAATCAATTTGGTGTTTCCATTCGCACTTTTCGCAGTGATACCTTAGAATATTTATCCTCTCAATTTCAGCAGTTTATGACTTCTCAAGGAATTATTCATCAGACCTCTTGTCCTTATACCCCTCAGCAAAATGGGGTTACAGAGAGAAAGAATAGGCACATCATTGAGACTGCTCGCACACTTCTCATTGAATCTCATGTTCCGCTGCGTTTTTGGGGCGATGTAGTTCTCACAGCTTGTTATTTAGTTAATCGGATGCTTTCCTCTCCCATCCAGAATCAGATACCGTATGCAGTATTGTTTCCCCAATCACCCGTATACTCTGTTCCCCCTCGTGTTTTTGGGAGCACTTGTTTCGTTCATAACCTAGCCCCTGGGAAAGATAAGTTAGCTCCTCGTGCTCTCAAGTGTGTCTTCCTTGGTTATTCTCGTGTTCAGAAGGGATATCGTTGTTACTCACTTGATCTTCGTAGGTACTTTATGTCCTCTGACTTCACATTTTTTGAGTCTAAACCTTTCTTTACCTCTTCTGAACTTTCTGACCCCCTTGATATATCTGAGGTCTTACCTATACCGACCTTTAAGGAGTCTACTATAGCTCCTCCTTCACCTTCCGCCACAGAAGTCTTACCCGAGTCTCCTATAGCTTCTCCTTCACCTTCCGCTATAGAAGTCTTATCCATTCCAGCCGTTGAGGAGTCTAGTGTGGCTCCTCCTAGACTCCCTGCCACAGGAACACCACTTTTGACATATCATCGTCGTCCGCGCCCAGCATCAGGTCCAGCTGATTCACGTCCTGCACCTGACCCTGCTAATACTGCGGACTTGTCTCGTCTTAATCAACCGATTGCACTTCGGAAAGGTATACGGGCCACCCTTAATCCTAATCCCCATTATGTCGGTTTGAGTTATCATCGTTTGTCATCACCCTATTATGCTTTTCTATCTTCTTTGTCCTCTGTTTCCATCCCTAAGTCTACAGGTGAAGCATTGTCTCATCCAGGATGGCGACAGGCTATGATTGACGAGATGTCTGCTTTACATACGAGTGGTACTTGGGAGCTCGTCCCTCTTCCTTCAGGTAAATCTACTGTTGGTTGTCGTTGGGTGTATGCAGTCAAGGTTGGTCCGGATGGTAAGGTTGATCGTCTTAAGGCTCGTCTTGTTGCCAAAGGATATACTCAGATATTTGGGCTCGATTACAGTGATACCTTCTCTCCTGTGGCTAAGATAGCATCAGTCCGCCTTTTTCTATCCATGGCTGCTGTTCGCCATTGGCCCCTCTATCAGCTGGACATTAAGAATGCTTTTTTACACGGTGACCTTGAGGATGAAGTTTATATGGAGCAACCACCTGGGTTTGTTGCTCAGGGGGAGTCTCGTGGCCTTGTATGTCGCTTGCGTCGGTCACTTTATGGTCTAAAGCAGTCTCCTCGAGCCTGGTTTGGTAAGTTCAGCACAGTTATTCGAGAATTTGGCATGATTCAGAGTGAAGCTGATCACTCTGTATTCTATCGGCATTCTGCCTCGAGTCTCTGTATTTATCTGGTGGTCTATGTTGACGACATTGTTATTACCGGCAATGACCAGGATGGTATTACTAAATTGAAGCAACATCTCTTGCAACACTTTCAGACTAAGGATCTGGGCAAACTAAAGTATTTTCTGGGTATTGAGGTCGCTCAGTCTAGCTCAGGTGTTGTGATCTCACAACGAAAGTATGCCTTAGATATTCTTGAAGAGACAGGAATGACAGGTTGTAGACCGGTTGACACTCCGATGGATCCGAATTCTAAACTTATGCCAGGACAGGGGGAACCTCTTAGCGATCCTGCAAGATATAGACGGTTGGTTGGTAAATTAAATTACCTTACAGTGACAAGACCTGACATTTCCTTTTCTGTGAGTGTTGTGAGTCAGTTTATGGATTCTCCGTGTGATAGTCATTGGGATGCAGTTGTTCGCATTCTTCGGTATATAAAATCAGCTCCAGGCAAAGGTTTATTGTTTGAGGGTCGAGGCCATGAGCAGATCGTTGGATACTCAGATGCTGATTGGGCAGGATCACCTTCTGATAGACGTTCTACGTCTGGATATTGTGTCTTGGTAGGAGGAAATTTGGTGTCCTGGAAGAGCAAGAAACAGAATGTGGTTGCTCGGTCTAGTGCAGAAGCAGAATATCGAGCGATGGCTATGGCGACATGTGAGCTAATTTGGATCAAACAGTTGCTCAAGGAGTTGAAATTTGGTGAGATTAGTCAGATGGGACTTGTGTGTGATAATCAAGCTGCTCTTCATATTGCGTCAAATCCAGTGTTCCATGAGAGAACTAAACACATTGAGATTGACTGTCACTTTGTTAGAGAAAAGATACTCTCGGGAGATATTGCTACAAAGTTTGTGAAGTCGAATGATCAGCTTGCAGATATTTTCACCAAGTCCCTCACTGGTCCTCGTATTAACTACATATGTAACAAGCTCGGTACATATGATTTATATGCACCAGCTTGAGGGGGAGTGTTAGAATAGTCATGTAAATAGGAGTAAATAAATAACCCTAATCCAATATATATTAGGAGTATGACATGTTACGTGTGTATATATATATAGGGCTCATTGTAACATATGTCGATACATCAATAATATATTTTCTCCCGTGCTTTCTCACATATGCAATATTAAATGTCAATAATGCCATGTTCTGTTGTATGAAATATAATTAGGACAATATCACAAAAGACAATAGCTTGCTTTTGTGGCTGCGGTGCACACAATTTTCTGTTTCCAGTGTAAGATGGTCTTTTTTATTGACTCCAACGTGATTTTATCCTGTCCATTCCAATTATCAATCTGGCTCAGTCAACTTTCTGGTGCACTGGGTGTCTAGTTGTGCTTGTCTGGCCAGATTGTCTTCACAGCTCTGTTTGTGGCTCCAGGAATCATGCAGATCAGGCACTCGATGACAACAAGGGGAACTTTGAGGAAAGAAAACACTAAAAGTTTTCTGCCGTCACAAAAGTATACTGAAAAAGGAGATAATAAAAGGTTTTAGTTTGTTGCATCTAGAAAAATATTTTAGAATAATGCCTTATTGGAAGGCTTAAAGTGGCATGTATCTGAATAAAATTTTGAGATCATTGGGATAAAGATGCTTTCACAAGTTCCACCTTGGGAGACACTCTTAAAGAGTTACTCATGAAAATACCAATTGCAAGCACTGACAACATAATAATATTAGAAATTTGTGTTCAACTCCATGATGCTGACATGAAGTATGGTGAAATCTTATTCTTGAGTATCAAATTTTCTTTTGGTGTTGAATCATATTTTGAGGAACACTCGTATATAATATTGAAAATCCAGGGTCATTTGCCTTTTTGGGAGTTCATGTCTGAATTTACCCGATTGATAGCATTGGCCATCTGATGGTGGTATTCTTCTATTAATAGGGATGCGGATCTACGCCAATGATGTTCATACGCAAATGGAGTGGGAGACTATGATGTTCAAAATGAGTGACTTCAGAAGGTTTAGACGAACAGTTGGATCTATTGCAGGTTCATGTTTAACAGCTGCAACTCCATTACTTGCTTCAGCAAAACAAGCAGCATCCCTGGTAGCACTTGATATAGTTGATGTATGGTTTTGAGCTTTATTCTGTCGCAATTAAGTAATTTCACAATGAAATTAAAGTGTTTAAATGCTGAACCTTCTATCCTAATACAAAATATATTATATGCATACGCAGTTAGGATAGCATGGGTCTTTGGAAATCCCCAACTTCATTTTGTTCCTGCTCAGTAAAAATAAGTTCATGCCTATTCATGATAGGATTACCTTACTGCCGCAGTCCCTCTTATACCACTTTCCTTTTCTCATGTAAAAGCTTGTCTTAGTCGGCCAGTCTTGTTTTTGTAGATACGTTTTATTCTTCTGACAGAAGATATAAGCTGAGGATTCCTTCTCAAAAAAAGAAAAAATCTAAGTTGAGGATCCATCATACACTTTTGTCTCGTTTTGCTATGGTTGATCATTTATTCACCCTCATATTTATTAAATCTGCATATATGCAAATTCCTTGAAGGAACAAACTTATTTACTTACTGAAATATTGCACCTGAAAGTTTCCTTTGATTCACTTATTTTCAAATGTCTTTAGGATGGATTTTTGACAATTGCCAAAGTGGAGGATGCCTACAAGCATGAGAAGGAAATCAAAGAGGCAATTGAACATGTGGCTGAAATGTGTTCATTCTATAGTCTTAGGGATGCTTTAGATGCTGATGCTGATGAATCTACTGAGAACAGACTGCTCCCTGCAGCCAATAAAGTATGGCCTTTTTTGGTTGCTTGTATTCGAAATAAGAGTCCATTGGTGAGTGGCTTTTTATCATTTTTTTTTTGAAACCTACTAATCATTTCTGCGGATGATTTCTTATTATAAATCTTTTTAAATTTAAATAGATATTTGACTATTTTCAATTTTATGGCAACTATAATTATGAGATGTGCTGGGGAAGCACGATTGGAAACTAATAGAATTTAGAAGTTCCTAATTTATGGTTTGGATTCTAGGATGCTGATAATAAGCAGTTACCGTGAAATAACTGAATCCATAGTGAGAGGGACGAGAACATGTATGTCCAGTGTGAGCTATCATGCAATAGATTGGACACTGGAAGCAATAGCCAAATCTGTGTCCAGTGGGCAGTGGCTAAGATTTCACGAATTTTGGGCCAAAAACATCCCTAAAGTATATTTTATAACTTAAATTACATCCTTGAAGTATCTTTACGAATAAAAATATCCTTAAAGTTTTCGAAAGTGAGCAAATTTCATCCTTCTGTTACCCATTGTTACAAACTAACGGACCCCTACAAAACCACACGTGACATGACATCTGCCCAAAACATCGCCTGCTTCTCCATCCCTGATCGTTAAGGCACACTTTTTGTACTGAAGGAAATACAGTTGTATATATGAAAGTGTTTGGGGTAATTTTCTCGTTTCTGTGATATCTCAGATTTTCTTGTTTTTGGAGTTTCTGATTTTTCCATAATCTGGTCTCTGGAGTTTCAGCATTTTCTGCATTTCTGGTTTCTAAAACTGCATGTTTTTTTAGCATTTTATGCATTTCTAGTTCTGTACTTTGTCACTTCTGGAGTACCAATTGATTGTTTTTAGGATGGGATCTGGTGGACGCTTGTTACAGAAGTTCCAAAATTCAATAGTGTTTCTGGTTTAACTGTGAATCTTATTGGTGAACAATAATGGTGAGACGGTGAATTGGATTTTAACATTTATTTTTCCTTTGATGAATATGGTGAAAAGGATGAAAAAAGATGGAATCTTTTCCTGGTTATGCTGCAGTGATGCTTCATCTTCTAATTGTACATGTCTAGTGTGGACAAGGATGATTGGATGGTTCTACAAAACAATTTGAAAAATTCCTCGAAACCTCCTCTTGTCATGCTTCATCTTACAACTTAAACTAGTGATGAGCATCACCCAGAAGGACGTCTAAGTGGTTCTACCAGTGTTATGAGTACCGACTTCAAACAACTCTGTTTGTACCATAACTTTTTGTTTTTACTTCAGGGTTGGGCAAGGGGGTTGTAAAGCTGGGTGTTTGGCATATATGACATGTGCTGCACGTGATTTTGAGGGATTCTGTTAGTTCTGTAACCATGAATAACAGAAGAATGAAACCTGCTCATTTCGATAAACTTGAAGGATGTTTAAAATGTGTGCTGAGATATTTTAAGGATGTAGTTAAGTTGCAGATATATTCAGGGATGTAATTGGCAAAAAACTCATGATTTCACTGTTATCTTTGTTTCATGAGTACTTTACATTCTTTAATGATTACCATTAGAGTCCTTGAGATATCTGGAGGTGAAACTTGGTTTGACAATGAAATCTTTAGTAGGACAAAGTAAAGAGAATTTTTTCTGATTGGGAGGGACTTGAGAAACATCCCTACTATTTCTTTTTCTTGGTTGTACCATTGTTTGGTCTTTGCTTCCCTTGCCCACCCCCACCCACGAAGGAAAAAGAACTTGTCGAGCAAAATTGAAATTATAAGTTTGTTTCAAAGGTAGTAGTATTGTCAGTAAAGCAGCTTTCTGACTATTGGTTTTTCTGTTCAATAATAAGCAGGCTGTTCGAAGATGTGCGCATACTATTAGTAATATTGTGCAAATATGTGGAGGTGACTTCTTTACTCGGCGTTTCCATACAGATGGGAAACACTTCTGGAGCCTTTTAAGTACTTCACCATTTCAAAAGAGAGCTCCACATTTAGAGGAGGCTCACTTGAAGCTTCCATACCGAGGTGATTCTGCATCTTCAGGAGATCCAGTAGCTGAGATTTCTGATCTAAAAGTCCAGGCCGCGGTGCTCAGCATGCTTGCGGATCTGGCTCAGAATAAACATAGTGCTTCAGCACTGGAAGCAGTTCTGAAGAAGGTCAGCGGTCTCGTTGTTGGGATAGCATGTAGCGGTGTTGTAGGCCTTCGAGATGCATCTGTGAATGCCCTTGCTGGACTCGCTTCAATCGATCCTGATCTTATTTGGCTCCTTCTAGCTGATGTTTATTACTCGAAGAAGATAGAGACACCTATGCCTCCTACAACAGTAGAGTTTTTAGAGATATCTCAAATTTTACCTCCACCTTTGTCTTCCAAAGGTTACCTTTATATGCAGTATGGAGGGAATAGTTACGGTTTTGACATTGATTTTACTTCTGTCGAGACCGTGTTTAGAACATTACATTCCCAGGTTTTCAATTCACAAATGTACATTTGATTTCCAATATCTCTAGTGACTTCTTTCTTGTGGTTGGGGTTGAGGGTGCAAAGGAGCTAATTATTCAATCCTAGGCAATCTGCACTCTCAGAAAGATCCATGGTGACAGGAAGAAGAGTAGCAAAGGGGTGTTTTCAGTCAAGTCATGCTATAGATATCACGAAAAGAATTACACTTGAAGCCTTGGCCCTGGAAGCAGATCTGGAAAACCAACGGTCCATAAAAAGTGGCATGTTTTTCTTGGATAGTAGTCAAAGAGGCTTGCCTAACTCATGATAATCTTCAGAAGAGAGGAATGAGGTAATGCAGTAGATTTACCTTTGTGGATTACAGAGGCCCCCAACTACTTATTTTTGCTCTGCTCTGTCGCATATCAAATGTGCCAATTGTTTCTGAAGTTTGCTGGCACCAAATGGGCCATTCCTCGGACAATCATTGCCCGTTTGAGATGTTGGCAAGGAAAAATGAAGAACTAAGTGGTGGTACACAGCCCCTGCATGCATTCTGGTGGACTGTTTGATGTGAAAGAAATGCTAGATGCTTTGAAGATTAAGTTCAACTCTATCCAAAATATCAAGTTCTAGTGTACTTTGTCCTTTTAGTTTTGATGTAAAGAGGAACTTATAGAAGAAACAGATTCAATACTTGGTTTATAGAATCACTCCATGGTTAGAAGAGGGATATGATTTTGGATTTTGCTCACTCGGTACAGATCTGCTGCATTAAACTTAGTGCTACTTTTGTGAATAATATTTGTTACCTTTTTCGAGAGAAAAAAAGAGCCATGATGCGTTTTACTTTTAATTTAGTGATACCACTAGTATCTTGCCCCTGCTAAGTCAAGGTTCGATGCCCTTTGTAGTAATGAAATTTCATAATTAGCAGAAACGAGTTACATGAAAGAGATTGAACACTGGAAAAAGATCTTAAATAAACCCAGCTAAGGACTTCTCTTCCTAGCATCTACATTACTTCTTACTTTAGAATGTACAATAAAATCTTCACTTCAATTTGATGTTAAATGCTTTACTAACTTTATAGAAAAGAAAAAGTCATGATTTAAAAAATTATTCGTTAGTATAATTTTGCATTGAGATGAACGTAAAGAAAAGATTTAAAAGATTAACCATTTGACTTGCTCTGTTATATTTCAATATCTATGCATTTGCAATTGCAACGGATGTACCAGACACTTTAAACATTTTTTCGTTCTCTAAATTCGATAGCTTAAATAGATACAGAGTATGAAACGACTTCATTTTGGTTTACAAGCACAAGATTCACTTGAGTGTTAATTTTAAGGTCCAAACTTATACCACGTCAACAGTTAATTTGACGTGGTGTGCCAAATCAAATTAAAGACCAAACAAACCCTTCAAGTGTTCCGTTCACAATGTTCGTTTGGATGTTACTTCATTTTAAGGTTCGGCACATGTGCATGCCAAATAGAGGTCCAATAGAAATTTTCTAAATGTTCAAATATGTTCCGGCAAATAAGATTAAAAATACGAAATATATAAATGACCCCTTTAAGTTGTCCTCAACTATCAGACAGACACCTCAATTGACCCATTTACTATTTTGACACTTCAAGTGTCTACTTATAGCCTGTTTGACCAAGCTTTTTTTTCTTGGCCTAAAGTTTTTTTTTTTTTTTTTTTTTTTTTTTGCAAAAGGGCTTTTTTCTTCAAAGTTAAGGTGTTTGCCAAACTTTTTGAAGGAAAAAAGGGTTTTTGAGTAGAAACAGAAGCAGTTTTTGAGAAACAGAAAAAAGTAGCTTCTCCCCAGAAGCACTTTTTTGAAAAACACTTTTTGAGAAAAATACACTTAGAAGCACCTTTTAACAGCTTGGCCAAACACTAATTGCTGCTCAAAAGTACTCTTCAAATTAATTTGCCAAACACAAATTGCTTCTCACCAAAAGTACTTTTTTAAAAGCACTTTTTAAAAATACATTTCTCAAAATAAGCAGATTTTTCCAGCTTGGCCAAACAGGCTATAAGTGTGTCTTGTAAACACGTTGCGATGACATGGCAAATCAATTGTGTTTCATTAACAATTGAGCGCGTGAGAACTTCAATTACGTTTTTTTTTCTTTTTTCTTTTTCAATTTAAGTTATTTTATGTGTGGTCCACACCACATTTTCTGTTTTTTTTTATTCCAAATGATTTCCACTTTCTCCCACAAAAATTTCTTCCACCAACAAGCCATCCTCTAGTATCGACAATCCCAGCTGCTTAGTAAAGCCCAATGTTGACCAACAATAACCAGTAAAAAATAAGTGGATTTACCCCATTTCATCATGTCCAATAATTAAAACTATGATTGTTATTGAAATTGGAGAAGATTTTACTTAATTGGTAAACCGACCCAGATAAAAGGGTTCATAGGAAGCAAAATGGATGTTGAAGATCCATTTAATTGACTCGAGGTAGAGCTTCGAATCGGTATGGATATATCATTATTGATTTTAACTTTGGGTTTCTGCTTTTGTTATTCGAGAAGACAGCAATGGCTCCTTGCTGATACTTCTCAACCAAAAGTGCAGTTGTTATCTCATCTTTTTCTCCCAATAAACTAATGCTTTTGTTCCATTCTTTCTCAGCTTCCACTCAGGTAGTAGTGGCCAAAAAGGCAAGGCTAATCTTTAATAGTCTTTGTTCAGTTTATCATTTAGCTTTGCAGATTGACTTGGAATGAAGCCACAGAGAAACATACATATTGGGTGAGTATGAAAATGCATGAGGTTTTTGTTTCCACACGGTTGTTATGAAAGCAAAGCTCTTATTGGAAACATGTAGAAGAAGAAAAACTAAGAGAAAGAAATGGGGAAGGATTATCAGGATGAGGGGCGGGGAAGAGAATGAACTTTTCTTTTCTATGGAAGATAAAGCTTATGTGAAAAAGGGGGAAACTTGTTTTTTAGTTTTTTTTTTGGATTTTTAATTACACGTGATAATATTTTTGTTTAAAATTACATGTGTCCTTACTTCATTGGCTCATTTGACACACTGCAAGTGTAACACATGCAAGGTGGCTGACTTGGTAGTATGTTTACAAGATACACTTAATATCCACTTGAAGTATCAAAACGATAAATGAGTCAGTTGAGATGTCTATGTGATCGTTGATGACAATTTAAAGGGGTCATATATGTATTTTGCCTGAAAATAATAACTTGACTCCGATAAGCCAATCAATTCAATTGAAGTAATACTGTTAAATGTGAATTTTTGATCCTACACAACCATTAATATGTCATATAACCAAATCTAGTAATTCACATAGAAGAGAGAGCCCATAGTCTTTCTCAAAATTCTGTAGCAAAGAAGAAAGAATCAGGAAAAGTTATTCCTTCAGGTCAACTCAAAAACTCAAGTGCTATTTGACTCTTCTTGATGATAAATGACTTTACAAAAAGGTCAACGACATCTTTTGCGTAAAAGATAAATTTCTTTGGACCTCGAATTAAAGTAAATAACTTAAGATAAAAATTAGAATATTTCAAGTAATATTCATATTTGTTAATAACAAAGTTTTTGTACTTATAGTTCCTTATTAATCCTTCCAAATTTTCATGACCAAACTTCTTGTACGCCAAGTTGGACCAGCTATGTCCATCATTTCTTTCTCTCATAAATTGAACCAGCAAATACTGAAATATTCTTTTGTGTAGGATTCAAGGAAAAAGATGACATTCTGCATAAAGATATTGTTGCATCTACTGATCACCTCGTATTGGCTTGATGACTCATAATATGCTCAAAATTGATGATGTGGAGCTTCATCTCGCGAAGACGCTTGGATCAAACAAACTCTAATAATGCCACAAGCTTTGTTGCACAATATCACTTTTTATATGCGACAAAATATTTTTAAATGAGATCCAACTTTAATGAGTTTTGTAGTGAATTCTTCTATTCAGCTATGTACAACACTTTAATGACCAACACTATTCAATCATGAGCACGCAACTATGATGATCGTGCAAACTATTGAGCCATTAATAAATATATATAAAGGACTACGAGCCCGTTTTGATTAGCTGGAAAAAATTAGTTGCTTAAAAGTACTTTTAAAGTGCTGAAACCGGTTTTAAAAATAAGCAGTTAAGTGTTTGAATAGAAGTGTTGAAGCTAAAAAAAGTCATTTATGTGTTTGCTAAACAAGTGCTGGTAAGCACGTTTTTTATTAAAATGACTGAAGTAACCTTAAATCTGTTAACGCTACAAAGGAGTTGATTACTACAAGATTTTTAATTCTCAATACAAATAAATATATTTCAGCCACTTTAAATTTAAATTGATTACCTAAGATAATATTTATATAAGTGTTATTTTAGAGTTCACTCAGACACAAGAAGGGGGTTGAATTGTGTATTGCCCTTTCACGATTTCAAAGAACCAAGTTCTTTGAACAAACTAACCTGACACAACCAGAAAGTAAAGTGCAGAATATAACTAACACAACAATTTTATGTCGAAACCCCTTTGCTCAAGGGAGTAAAAATTACAATCTACCCTAGTAGGATTTGCTTCAAAACTTTACTAACTTCAAAGAACGATTTTATGTTATAACTTTATAAGTAAGGGACTAATTCTAGTACCTTAGCCCCTATAATCAACATGAACACAATGCCAATAGCTCAAACGTTTGATCCAATAAAATTATCAAAAATACCTTGATGGGTTTTCAATGTCTTTGCCTTATGCTTCTTATGTTTTGATGATCTAACAAACTTATTGTTAAGAACCAGATAGAGAACCTGACCAAATTGGTACACATTTCAAATGAACAATGTCCAGTCTGATCTCCAGCAAATGAACAACTACAATGAGGAACACAACAGGGACCTGGTCCCTTAGGGTTCTCTGAAAGAAGTACAAGTCAACTATACAGCTGGAACGCAACTGCAGAAAGTGACTGTCCGCAACTGTACCCGCGACAATGCAACAGACAGTGCAGCAGTCACTTCTCATTGGGAAGAAGCGTGTACCAAGAATGGTGATGTCTTTTGTAGTATAACAACCTGGTGCAAGGCACAACATATTTACTTGAGCATTTAGTGATATTCTCTCAAGCATTAAAGTGTTGATCCAGCATTGAAGTCACAAGTGTGTCAAGAACAAGAAGACAACTCCACTAAAGGATCAGTTTCACAATGAGTGTATGTGTATCCGTAGTTGAGTTGTAATTTTGTTATTTGTTCTTCATTGTAACTCCTATCTTGCTTTCTTAGAAGCTGTATTTTAGGAAACCCAAAAATCACAAATCCTCTAAGTTTGTGTTGTGACTAGAGTTAGTCATAAGTTAAAGTCTTTGTAACTAGAGAGTGACAAAGTGGCTTGTGGTAAGCGTATCACAACTTAGTTAAGTTGAAGTCTTTGTAATAGAGTCATTACAAAGTGGCTTGTAATAGCGAGATTACAAGTTAGTGAAGTTGAAAGCCTACAAGTGTAGGTCGTGGTTTTTGTCCCCTTAAGTGGGATTTTTCCACGTAAAAATCCCGTGTCTCTTTTACTTACTGCTTCATAAGTATTCTCAGTAGAAACTCACAAAGGATCGGGTGCTCTATAGTTTGGTGGACCCATATAAGCTAACAATTGGTATCAGAGCGGGTTCTTTCTAAAAGGTTAACACCTAGAAAGGATCTCAATGGCTGCTCCACCCAACTTTGAGGAAGGACAATCAACCTACAGACCTCCTAGATTCAATGGTCAGTACTACGGCTGGTGGAAGACTCGCATGCATGATTTTATAATGGCCGAAGATTCAGAACTATGGGACATCATCTGTGATGGTC